CTCTCTCTCTCTCTCTCTCTCTCTCTCTCTCTCTCTCTCTCTCTCTCTCTCTCTCTCTCAATGCTGTTTTTTCTGTAGTTGCTATAGCATAACCAAACTCTACGGATCTCCCAACCGTAGTATTCGTTCTGCAGATCATAATGGAGCAGTATTCTTTTGCTTGAGGCAACTATATACGAAAATATACTAATTGCACATTATGTGTCAGAAATATGTAAGAACTGTGACTGTGAAGAACTGTATAGATGAGTATAACACAACAGCAGTTTTTAATGCAATATCCATGTCCATTTAACTGGAATCATCGCATAAATTTTACTTCTAACCATCAAGAACGTGTGGTTGCAGCAACCATAACAGTTTTTTTCTTCGTGCAGGAGTCACTGCTGCCAGACGAATCCGCGCGGGAACACGGTTTTCACTTGACATTAGCATCTCTCGGCGCAAAGTCTGACAAATTGCCGCGCGTACACACACTACATTGCATTTATCAGCTTAATTAGCTGAATATTTCTTACTGGCCGTGTAAACGCGTCTCGCGAATAACGATATCTCCCGGATATTTCGTTGATCCATTCATCATCGCGCGCGCGCGCGTCTGTGCAACGCGATAAATTCGCAGATGCACTTTCGATAACTTACAAACCTACGTCCGTCGACATGCGCGCGAATCAATGTTACGTTGATACGTGCGATTTACGGTACACGTCGATTCGCGGGAATCGCTGGATTCGTTCCACGATGTCGCGGTTCTGAATGGATTCGCTGTCGGGATCGCGGGAGCAAGACCGAGCGAAAGATTACCAGCGAAATATCGCACGCAGACCGAAGATGAAATAACGCCACTTTTATAATTCGTATATCTCTCGTCAATTAACCCCTCCTCGCACACAAGTGTCCCGTGTGAGACACATATCCTGTCGGTACCGGGATCAATAACGGCGACGATATTGATTGCGAGACGCGAATAGAGAGCTCTCTCAGCTAAATAAAAACATCAATATCTTTTATAGATGTCGATTGCGCCGTATCTCCCGTCGTTGCCGTCCCACATAAACAGCTCTCCACCTCTAATCTAATCCCGCCCGATCTAAATCATCGGCGATCGAGCGGGTAATAATGTCACGAGACAGGCAGGGGCGGGCGGGGGGTGTGGGAGGAGATACGTGACGTAAGGTCAATCTGTCAGAATCTCGCGCGCGTGCGGACCGCCGTGACATTTATGAATATCGATGCGTGACGTTCAGCGACGGCGTGCACGGGATTTCGCCATAGAGCCGATGTTCTTCTGCGGTCTCTCTCGGGGTCCCAGGCGGATCTCACGACGCACGCCAAGACAAATAAATCATCGGCGACTGCGCTGACTCGCGCGCGCGCGCGCGCGATCGTACGCGCATCTGCATTCCTCGGGAGCCTCGCGTGCATTAAGGTCGTTCCGATCGTTGCCGGGGTGTGAATATGCGATGCATCGCACTGCACCCCGCCCGCCGCGCTCCCCTTTTCCTCGCCTCCGGGCCTGAAACGAATTGGGACGCGATAATCGCGCGGCTGACCGTTTGTAACGGCGTATAAAAGGAGAGAGAGAGAGAGAGGATCGGCCGAATTGTCGGATAATCCGCGAGCATTTTTACGCGATTATCATCGCGAAACGGGACAGTCGTCCCTTTGAGGGTTTTCGAAGCTAAGCGCGTTCGCGCATCGGTTTTCTCTTCGCGAATAAGAGGCCGGCTTGTGCCGCGCTTTCTCGCGCGCTTTCCCACGTCCATCGAAGTAAAAGGGTTCGTTGCGTTAGACTGCGTCCTTTCCGAAAGGGGTATCCCGATATCTCATGTCCAGCGCGCGCGTGATCGGCCAGCCAAATGAAACGACTAACAAAGACAGACGTTAATTGGCGAGACAGAAGCTGATCCGAGGGCCTTGACTCGCATAATTAATTACGGGCCATCGAGAAGGGTGGTGGCGAGCTATAATGCTCCTTCGGGTATCCCGGCCGGCGTGTCCGGTCTCGATTTTTGTCCGGTCTCAAGGCGATCCGGTAATTACTCGATCTAATGGCACCGTCGTAAGAAGTACCGACTGCATGACCGGCTCACTAACTCGGCCAGCTTGAGATAGTCCCGCGGTAATTGAGCGTGTGTCGCTCTCGAACTACTCGTACAGTTTCGTTACGAGTGCGCTCCGAGGCAGCCTCGCGTCGTCGATTAATCCTCGCGGTATCCTGCATATCGAGGCTCCTCTTCGTATCGTTAGACACGCTGTCAGAGGAGAGACAGTTCTCCATCGCGCGCGAATGAAGAGAGAAATTGGGATGAGAGGAGCATCGCGCCGGAGAAGAGAGCCCCTCGTCGCTCTATTGTCTGGCAAATGTATGCACAGATAATTGCACGCGACGGCGGAAGACGTCGATTAGCGTTGAGATGAATTTATCGTGCGGCCGTTTGGCACATTTAATTTATCACGATTAGAAACCGCGTGACTCTTGCGCGCATTGTCGCGCCTTCTTAACCTACAGTTGTCGCTTTAATCGCCGTGCGCGCGAGTTTAATCGCCGCGATATACGATTCGCGTTAACGCCCAACGGGACGGGATGAAAATAATCTCGGCGCTCTTTCTGGACCGGCTAAATGAGCCGTCGGTGGCTTAATTGGCGGACATTACGGCGAACGTGTGAGCCAGCCGCGGTTGAATGTCGCGCGGGCTGCGATGCCGAGGCAAACGTTCGTAAGCGCTCTTAAGAAAAACATCGAAAAATAAACAGAAGTAGCCGACGCGGTAAAAAAGCGGACGAAAACTTTATTCGTCTAGTAACCTTACTTTCAGGATACATCCAGGCGAGCGCGAATTTCGTAAAAATATGTGAGCCAAGACGTATGTATAGGCAGCGAATGATGAAGTATTCTCTGAATTTCTTGAAGTGAAATTTTTCACTCGAGAGGCAGAGCGGCCAGAAGAGAGTCACGTAAATTCGAGTGATTTTCCACTTGTGTAGAGAGTGAATTCTCCACGCTGGATCGCCGAACGAACATTTTCCCTCGAAATTGAATCTGATGGACAGTCGGTTGCAAATCGATTTGCACACCTTTCATCGAATGAAGCTGCAACTCTTCAACTTGTCAGAATTGAAAGGCACCGCTGACGTACATGCGCTGTAATCGGTTATGACAGTACAAAGTGCGACATTTGTGAGGTTTGGAAGAAAGAATTTATCTCAAATTAAGGCGACATTGTCTCGAGTTGTAACATTTGTGACGTTTGGAAGAGAGAATTTATCTCAAATTAAGGCAACATTATCTCGACAAGTAATTCTTTTATATTTGTAACCGATTACTGCGCGTAAAGTATGTACATACCATGGATATAGTATACATCGAATGCCCTATATTCTGTTGTCTAATAGAGTGAAGCCAACATCTAGAAAGAGAGTAAGAATAGAGCGGCTATAGTTTTCTTCCTATTTTGTCATTTTTTTGTCGTGCGTGCATCCATTTCTCGTTTCTATAATATTATAGAGCGCAACAGCGCCCTAAACTGGCAAGTAAACGTCTTACTTAAATCTTATTGCACACTTTGTCTGTGCAGAAAGAGACAGAGAACAGAAGGGCTGTACATATTGGCTTCTCTTTTCTGACTGTATGCGAAGTCTATGTATATTATGTCTATGGTCTTTTTCTACATGTTGGGTTCACTTTTCTGGCCGTATGCGGGGTCCACGTATACTACATCCATGATACATACACGTCGGCGATGGCTTTCAACTTTCTGACAGCTTTGAAACTTCACCCGATAAAAAGCGCGCGAGCCAATTCGCGACCGATCGTACTCCATCGTCATTAGAATCAGAACATATACATTCCAATCGATTGAAACATTTGCACGTACGGCGAATTGAAATCCGTTTTGCAGCTTGAGCGAAACATTCACCTTCGCGATTTCGAGCGACGGTATTTTCATTATTTTCATCCTGAGTGGGATTCCACTCTGAGAAATTTAGAGAGTAGAGAGGAGAAGAGATATCGCGCGATCGTGTAGCCAGGTAGAGAATTTCTAAGCTGACTAGTGAGTTATTTTATGAAGTAATCGCTTGAAGAGTTAATCTCTTCACGTGCCCTAGAACCTTATACACGTTGTCGTCGTCCGTGGATCCCTCGAAACAGTCGATCGATCTTAATCGCGCCATCGATAAACCGCGCAGTTTATCTCGCGCAATTAATTGCAACGTGCCTGTCTGCTCGCGGAAAATGTTCAAGGCCGTTCGTTGTACGCGGTATAACGGCTCGAACATGCAAATGTCAAGGAAATGGACGAAGACGAAGAGCCTGCTCTCTCTCTCTCACACACTGTCTCTGTCTCTCTCTCTCTTTCTGTTTCCTTCTTCCTCTCTCTCCTTGTATCGACTCGCCTCTCTCTTCTTCTCTCTCTCTCCCCGTTACCCTCTCACTAGTTATTCCACTCTTTTTCCATCGACCCATTAGTCAGGCTTTCTCGTCGACCTCGGTAAAGTGCGTGTTACCCGAGATGCCATCGCCTCGCGTCCCAATTAGACAACTGATAATCGGTTCCGGCTCGACCTCGCCTGACCCACGAAAAGGCACGCGGAGATAAAAATTGATCGTCTGCATTGCAGGAGAGCGAGGATCGGCCAAGATGGAGCGGTGGTGGTTCGCGTACACAGTGACGCTGCAGATCCTAGCTGCCGTTGGTAATGCCGTCGAGGATTTCCGCCACATCTCGTATGAGGGTGAGTGTTTCTTTCGCAAATTCTACCGCGGCTGCAATTCGCAATGTTACGTCGTGAAACTCTGGTGTCGTCGTGTGGCGCCTTTCGAGATGAATATACTTCGCGTGTATGTGTGTGTACACGTCACGTTCATCGAGCACTTGTGTGTGCCCCGAATGCCTGCACTGGATACATGTATACAACGTCACCGTATGAAATCATGCGAAGTCGGTCCGTTATCACTGAATTATATTTCGCGCCTTCGAATCACGCCTGCGGAAGACTTTCTTATCTCACGATTCGCGCGCGACTCAATCGATTATCGCGCATAAAACGGGACAGACTAATCGTCGCGACAGCTCACCGGCAGCCTCTTACGTCTCGCGCATCATCATTCGTAAGAGTCGCGATCGAATCTACGCGCGATCGGCCGTGCGCGCGCCGTTCCGGATGCGATAAAGTCGCGCTGCTCGAGGCTCGATTATCTCGCGATCCCGTTAATTGCTTTATCACAGCTAATCCGAGTAACCGCCCAGCGATTACGACGCGCGCGCGCGCGTTATCGATAAGACGTGCACGCGCACGTCGTCACGGGTACGGTCGTTCACGCGGCGATTCCGTCAGGTCTTTTCACCGCTCGCGAACAGAACAGGACCGACGAGTTTCTAGATGCGATTATCTCGGAAACGGGAGCACTCCCACGGAACGGACAGAAATACACTTCATTCATCGAGACACACGCGCGCGCGCGCGCGCGCGTTGTCACGCCAGGTGCGTTATCGGCGCCATTGGAAAAACGCGCGGCCGTTCTCGGTCGGGCGATCCGCGCTAAGCCTCGTCTACATAGGCCGCAGACTTGCAGGATAGCAAAACTCACTCACACGTTCGCAAATCACGTCGCGAAGCGTCGCGTTCTCACTAATATATTCTAAAGCGACACTTCACCCTGTTTTCGAAGCCTTATCCTCTGTGATTGATTAACGCAAGACGCAGCCGCAGAAGCAACGCAGTCGCAGAAAGTTCGAGCTGAATCGACTCATCGCGTGAAGCGCGATTGCGACAAGATGTACCTTGCGTGAACTGATATGTCATCTTGTGTTTGCGTTTGCGATCTGTGTCTTGCGAACTGTATAAACGGGACTTTAGAGTCGATCGAAGTGCGTGCGTGCACATTCGCACGTAGCTCGAGAGAGCCGCAGAAATTTTGCACTCGAATTTGACGGACGATATCGATCTGTCAAGAACGCTCATCTCGTGATTATTGCCGGGTCTGATAACGATACACACGGAAAGATCATACTGTTCTTAGTAGAAAGTGAATCAGTAGAAATATCTCTAGTTGAATCAGTAAGAAGAGCATTTCATCGATAATAAGTGAATATGTTCATTGATTTTTAGCAGAACTTCCACTTTACTGCTATCTTGTATATCTCATTGATTTTGACACAAATTAATTATATGGATGGAATTAACAATTTCCATGCGATTTGCGTGCAATGACACTATCTGTGTTTGCAAACTATATGAATTATTATTTTCTATTAAATTTTCTATCGAAACAATTACTACTATTAACTGATTTTTTCAGCGAGATTTTACTGATTGCAATGTTATACTTGTAACTGATTAGTTATAAATGTGGCATTTCAATGAAGAAATTGATTGTATTTTAGAGAGTGTATTCAAGTAAATGTCACCTGTTTCAAGTATCACATAAGTTCATATATTCACAAATCTGTCATAAACTCGTCATAAGCATCAAATTCGTTCAAAGTACGTTCTGAATCCTAGTAAGTTTAGCATTAGATTTGAGAACATTAAATTGAAACAAAAATTTGGTTTGCTTACTATACATAGAATTGAACTAACCTTTTTCTTATGTGTGAATAGAGTTTATATCATATTCTCGTAAAGAATAAATAAATTCTGCGTTTGAGCACACATTGATGAGCCTTTCTAAAAAAAAAACTTGCGATGAATATCTTTTAAAACTATTATCAAGGACCCATCTTCATTGAAGATAACCATTTAAAAGAAGAAAAGTAAACTAAGTAGAGTTGCTTTTGTCAGCAACAAAATGATATTTTTCCCTGTGTAGCTGCTTCGACAGACGTGAGATAATTGATCGTCGGGGAGATCTTAACCATCGACGCGATAATTAACCGTGACTTTAGAGCCCTCCACGTTGGCTTACTCTCGTGACTGCACCTTGAGTGAAATTGCTGTTGAAATTAAGTTTGCTTGAAAACTACCGGGGAATAAAGTTTCGCCTCGCATTCTTCCGGCCTTACAAAACTGCGCATAGGAGTAAACTGTGATATTATTAACAACTTGGCAATTATACTTTCCCATTAGGCTCGAAGGAAAAGTCGGAGAGTGCGATTAACAGGAAAGCGTTAAAGAAGAAACGTTCCGCGAACGTGGAGATCACGGCGTGCATCGAAGTATCCACGTGAAATCGTGCGTAATCGGCAGAAGTAGGTGAATATTCCGTGATCGCGATTTCCTCGCCGGATGATGAGCATAAATCCGAGCAGGCGAATCGACCGGGACGTTTATGCAAATTTAATTTCGCCCATAACCGCTTTTCTACGACGTCGACGTGTCAGAGATAGGCATGGCTAATCGATAAAGAAAATATATCCTCGTCGTGTGTGCGCGATATGTATGTGTGTGTATGTGTGTCGCCACGGCGTCGTGCCAGCCCATTAACATCTGGCAAAAATGTTGGACATTCAGGGCACTTATCACAAGCAATGACCCACAATGTACAGTTACACGTAGGCGAGCTCGCGGCTCGATTATCGCGCACTCTAACCGCGCTCCCGGAGAGAAAACGCAGATCGTGTTGGAGATGTGGGACGTGCGGTGGTCGCCTATATGGAGAACAGACGCCACGCCCGTCAAACGGAAACCATGTGGAAAACCTTGTATCAGCTGTACTTGGATGCCTTAATGAGCCTAATGGATCGTTTCTAGCTCCCGACGCGGTAGGGCCCCCGTTTCTCGTTCGCTCGTCTCTTCTTCCCAATTTTTTCCCCTCTTAACGGCACGCAGGTGTCGGAGAATCGCGAGAAAACACACGCCGGAGTTCGCGAGCTGCGATTTACATTTGCACGTAAAGTACTTGCCGCGAGCCACTCGCCGATGATTTCAGAGCCCGCGGCTCGGATGCTGCTCTGCGACAGTCTCGTGAATATAATCGTGCAGACTGTATTAAACCGGATCACGACTTCGTTACGGATTCTCGCGCTTCCCGCCGTCACGTTTCGCTGTCGCGCGCGCGCCGATCGGACGCGAAATGCGGAACGTGGCTCTGTGCCAACAAAAAGTTGTTGCTCGCATTTCTTCTGTATGATAGTAACAATTCGCATGCATCATCCGTTACAATAGAGCGCGCACTATCCTGTAGCAACAAAACGTCAGGCATTTTTCCGCAAGGGAATGAGACTGCAAGTCGAGTTCACCGTCGCGCTTCATTCGTACGGCAATATACGGTATTGTCGATAACCGTGGAATGTTGTTACGATAATTCATGATCCTGCGGCTAATCTTTCCGCCATTTAAAGAGAGAAAGAGAGAGACAGAGAGGAGGGGAATAGAGGGAGATATTGCTGGCAAAACAACGGACGCGGCATATGCATGCTGATAATACGTAACGCGAGATATTTCCCCCTTCCGCGAATTTGCGATTGCTTTCCACGCATTCCTGGGGATTTAAATCTCGCATAACAACGGCGCGAAGCTCGTCGATGTCCGATACCGATATTCATTAACGTAGTTGTCATATTAGTGAAATGCATTAGCGAGATTAGAAAGCCAGCTTCTAAATATTAATTTATTTCAACGGTTGTTGATTATGTGAAATGTGCTTCCTCTGTGAAGAAGACGTGGGAAATGTACAGAGAGAAAGTATTGGAGTAGAAATTACATTAAAATTATATATTTTTTTTTGTAAAGTTGAACTATACTACGGAAATTGTAGTATAAATTACTATAAAAGTAAATAAATTTTACGATTTATCTGATAATAAGATATATTATAAAAAAACATTCAAGTAGCTACAACATTTTTATTCAAACGCGCATAACAAATATCTAGTGATTTTGATTACTTGAATTCTGCATGGTTCAAGATTGTTAAAATTTTGTTATAATTTATGCTGCAATATTTTCTCCGTATAGAGTCGAACTAAACTAAAAAATGTTGAAACATTAAAACAGTTTATTAAAGCGCAGGTAAAGAAACGTTTAGACATTTTATTGATAATTACCGTAGTCGTACAGCTATAGCCGGAATATTATTTATTTTCAATTACTCCCCTCCTCTCTCTCTCTCTCTCTCTCTCTCTCTCTCACGCTGTTATGAAATTCAATTGTGACTGACTCACACACTTTTCAAAACAAATGATTCGATTGTCGAGATTTTTAAGTATTAGACTACGATAAATTCTCCCACTCACTGCGCGCGAATAATAGCCGCGATACTGCTACATCTTTCTCTCTTTCTCTCGCAAGCCGACGGTGAGTTTTTCCGCCTCGGCGGTGGGTATCGTCACGGTTAGACGTTGTAATTGCCCACATTGTTACACGCGCAACCAATGTTGTTTATAACGGTATCGGGTTGCTAATGCGCGGCTCGAACATCGCGCCTCGATATCAGATCGCGAGAGCATCCCGCGCGAAAGAAATCACAGGCAGAAGTCCTGCTAAAGCATCGCGCGCGTTTAGCGTCCGGAGAGGCAGTGACACCAAGTATACACGATACGCCTATACACGACGACGTGTTGCCGTAACGGTATTATTTGCACACTGTCGGCACGGCATGCACGCCGTTGGAACACCGTGCATCCTATGCAACACAAACATTTCGCAACGTAACTTTTTTTTAAAGTAACGCGTCGGTACTTTTTCGCTGATGGCGATGTCCAACTTTGTGGCACACACATATGGCGCCATGGACACCCTATTCTCTTAAAATGAGTCAGTGAATAGTCACTGATATCAGTTATAAGTATAGC